ACGTTATTATCGGCAAATGCTGTCAGGCAGCATTACTGGAATGAGAAATTGAGCTGCTGTTTCAGGTTGAGGACTTTACATTAGTGTTGGAAATAGTTAGAAGTGTATTAGGTTTTAAGCAATGAAAGAGGGGGTGGGGAAGAAGTGAAAAAAAAGAATAAAGGGGAAAGTTAGGGTGGAAGATAAGAGCAATTAAGTAACAAGAGTTGGTAGTGCAAAGGGAGTATTGAGACAAGTAATGAAATAAAGGATATATCTGGAAGAGGTGTGAATGGCAGAATTATGAACAACTACCATCTAAAAACAGAAACAAAGGAAAAACAGATTAAATAAAAAACATATAAGGAATAAGGAAGCAAAATGGATACAGAGACTATGGTTGAAATTGATTATTGAGTTCAGGAGACTGCAGATTGACACATCAACAGATGAAGTGCTATTCCTCAAATTTGCGTTGAATTTCATGGGAACACAGCAGGAGGCAAAGAACAGAGAGATCAGAGTGACGTTAACAGAGAATGGTTGTGTCATGTGACTGGGCGCCAAGGGTCACATTTGTAAACTGAACAGAGGTGTTCTGCAATATGATCCCCTGCAATGGGCAGACCACATTGTGAGCAGTCTACTAAATTAAAAGACTGTTTCGCCTGGAAGAAACGTTTTGGGCATTGAGCCCTGAAGAAAGATGAGATTTGTATCATGTATTCTTATATGGAAAAGTACCAAAGCTGGTGGTAACATGGGTTTTTCACGAGTGGAGCAGGATGTCACTTTATCAAAAGGAAGGAGAAGAAGGTGTGACAACAAGGTGCACAGCTGGATAAACACAGCAGGCCAAGCAGCATCGTAAGAGCAGGAAGGCTGACGTTTCGGGCCTGGACCCTTCATCAGAAATGGGGGAGGGGAAGGGGGTTCTGAAATAAATAGGGAGAGAGGGGGAGGCGGATAGAAGATGGATAGAGGAGAAGATAGGTGGAGAGGAAACAGACAGGTCAAAGAGGCGGGGATGGAGCCAGTAAAGGTGAGTGTAGGTGGGGAGGTAGGGAGGAGATAGGTCAGTCCAGGGAGGATGGACAGGTCAAGAAGGTGTGTTTAGTGGTGGACCTTTCACTCATTTTTCTCTGGTACATTGATGATTGTACCTAAGCCATTTCCTGCTTTCACTCTAAACTGGAAAATTTCACTGACTTTGTTTCCATTATCTATCTTTCTCATCTTTTCACATGATTCCTTAGACTTCTTCCACCCTCAACTTTTCTTTCTCCATTATGGTGATTGACTGTCTACAAGCACAGTATTCATTAGGAGCCCAACGATTCCCACAGTTAATTCAATTAGACTTGCGCGCACCTTGCTTCCTGTAAGAACTCCACTCCATTCTCCCAGTTTCTCAGTCTCCATTGCATCTGTTGCATCTCTCAAAGCAACATTTATGATGGGTCTTCCTCTTACTCCAACCAAGGATTTCCCCGACCATGGTTACCATGGCCCTGGGGAATGAGTATCTAACTACCTACATTACTGTTCTTATCCTTTTTCCTCCCTTCCAGAACTGCTATTGGGCTTCCCATGCCCGCACCCTCTGCTCCATAAGGATCGTCCTTCACTATTTCACCACCACCAACATGATGTCACCACCAAACACATCTTCCCTTCCCCTACCCTTTGGTTCACTAATTAGACTGGAACTTACCAGGAGGTAGGCTTGCTGGTTAATGAAATCTTGCTGCTGGACATTCAATTGAGAAGGGTCATAGCCTTAAGAACAACATTAAGAACAACAGTATCAATTACATTATATTGTAAACAATAGCCTCTTGTCTTTCATTAGACTTGAGAAATTTTGTATTTTCTCAACTTTCCTTTTCTCTAGGTATCCTTACAACTGGGCCCTGGGGTTGGAAATGCTGCTTGGAGTGGGCCTGGCAATGGGAAAGGGGTAATTCTCTTTTAAAGTATATGGGGCTCTTCAACAAAGAGCTTTGTGTATTTTCCTTTCTTCCCATTGTGCCATTGTAAAACAATGGAGCTCACTGGTGCTGACAAAATCTGGTCGTGGTCAGCAACAGTGACAGGCAGTAATATTTACAGTAAAAAAGTCACTGCTTGACTCCAGTTACAATGAGAAGACTAAGTTACACAGCCCTGTCAAACAGTCCCACAGAATACTAACCTTGATGAGCTCCAGGGATCTCTGTAGGTCTCTCTGAATTTTGCTGAGTCTCATCTCCATTGCCAGCTCCTATTTTCCCGCCTCCCTTCATTCGAACTGACACTAAGGATGATCTTTCCAAATCCTCAAAATTGGAAGGACAAAAAAATACTTTAAACCAAAACATACCGCACGATGAAAATCACTAATGAACTTATTGTCATCTAGTATGGAACTTGAAAATTGCTGAAAAACAAGACATGACATTGAATCTTTCAAACAAACACAAAACTAGCAAATTTCAGGCAATCATAACAACATATACTATAGATTAGGTGACAAGTCAATGCTCTTTGGCAGGAGTGTTGCTAGGAGAAAGTAACAGCAAACTACAGGCTCCACAAGCTCCTGAGTAATTCAAAAAATGCAGAAGGCTTGAACTTTTGCTTTGCAGAGAAAAGGTCCGTGTGTATGAATGAATGTTACTTCTAACATGTGTAAATGTTTCATATTGCAAGTTTGACTGATTATCTTAAAATTGATTGTTCATGCAGCTATTAGCACACTCAGGACTATTCAGAAAATGTTGAATCACCACATCAAATTTAACAGTAGCTGTTTTGCTTTAAGTTTTGACAGCACATATTTGTTGGGCACAGCCTGGTGCATATAAACTAACATTTTCCTAGCTACCATCAGTTCTGAGGAAGGGTCACTTGACCTGAAATGTTAACTGATTTTGCTCCACAAGATCTGCTGAGCTTTTCCAGCAGTTTCTGTTTTTGTTTCTAATTTACAGCATCCGCAGTTTTTCCAGTTTATACAGCCAATGCTTTGTCTTGTCTGAACAACAAAAGCAACATATTGCTTGATTCAATCTTTGGCAAAGTTACAATAGCAACAAATTTAAGACAATCAGTCAAGCTTACAAAATGGAACATTTATGCTTCCTAGAAGTGGCATACATTCACATGCCGGGATCCAATCATTACAAACAAAGGGAATATGATCAACCCATGCATCTTTACCGAACCACACAGGAGCTTGGGAAGCCTATAATTCCCTAGTTTTCTCTATGGCAATGTCTCAGGTAATTAGAGTTGACTTGCAAACCAATATGTATCCTTTTCTCCCACAGCATAACATTTTGCAATTGTCTGAAATTTGGCATTCTTGTGTTTGGCTTTGATGAATAGAAGATAAAAAGATTTTGGCCACGTGTCACTTTTTTCAGCAAGTTCTATAAAACCCTACTAGTTAACGAAATTCAGCAAGATAACAAAACTTCATTAATTAATGAGAACCCACAATGTGACAAAGCCCCATTAGTTAATGAAACCCTTAACATAACCATCTCTGCAGCTTAACAAAACTCCAATTGTTAATGAAACTCCATAACATAAGAAAATTCCACTCACAAAATCTCACGTCATGCCAAACTCTGATAGTTAATGCAACCTACGAGCAAAAGGCTCAACATAACTCGGAATGAAGTCTCTTGGAGATAGCAAGAACTGCGAATGCTGGAGTCAGAGTGAATACAGTGTGGAGCTGGAGGAACACAGCAGGTCAGGCAGCCATGGTCCTGATGAAGGGTCCTGACCTGAAACGTTGATTCTCCTGCTCTTCTGATGCTGCTTGACTTGCTGTGTTCCTCCAGCTCCACACTGTATTGATTCCTACTGAAGTCTGCCAACTAAAGTTCCTTTCTGGGGAGTCAGGTAGTTCTCTTCGATTTTTAAAGATATTGTAGCATCTTGTTCCCTCAGTATTTTTAACTGGAAAAACCCTGGTAATTTCTCTCTCTTCCATGCTTGATAGCTTAACAATTCCTCAAAACTTATGCTTTAACTTATACATTAATCTTGTTTCCCATTCAAGAGCAGAACTAAGGCCTCATTGATTCAGGGCTACTCCCAGAACTGGGTTAATAGTCAGTGTGAGGATCACTGACATTAACTGTAATGAAGATGTTTACATAAATAAAGGGAAGTAACTTCTTCCACATACCATTGGTAGTCTGTTAAATTGTGGATTCTACCTCATTCATAATATTAGTTTATCTTCAATGGGAGTTAGTCAACTAGTTGCAAAGAGTGTGGTGCAGGATAATGTCAACAACATTAATGCTGGTTGAGCCATCTTCTCACCTTGCCCATTGCATAAGCCATAATTAATAATTCTGAATGGTCTTAGGCAATGGGTGAAAGCTGTGACCTCTACTGGTTATCCAGTGTTGCGACCAAGCTACCCAAACTTCTTGGATCCTCCTCACTGTTGGAATCATGAAAAAGCCACTGAAAGAATGGGGTCAGCAGCTATGTTTTCTCTCATTTTCACTGCCACTGTGCAGAACTATGTGGCAGTGACTTCCGGAAGCAGATGATCTGAGACGCTAACATTGGTCAGCAGCACACACCCTTTTTCCACTATGATCAGATTCCTTAGCATAGGTTAACTGTAAAAAGTAACCTTTGAAATAACTTACAGCATAGACACAGTAGAACAACAAAGAGTCTACCATTACTACTTAAGTTGAACACCCTTCAGTACTCTTGCCTAGTCTGATGACCCTGATCAATGACGCTCTCCCGTCTACATGATCCCACTGCCTCCAGGATTGTCACACTCTTCTTTACAAATTTGGGATGGTGGGTACAGGAATAAAGGAGTAAGGATGAATTTCCATTGGGGCTTGTCCTTCAACCAGGAAAATGCCTGTTAAAGACCCACAGGAACTCCAGTAGTAGAAGAAGATACTGCACCAGCTCAAAATGTTAACATTTAAGGTCACATTTACACACAGTGCATAGTTGTGTGAGCTCTTTTTAAAAGGGACATTAAAATCCAGAGAATGTGTGGAGTGTGAACTCATCAGGATGATGAAGGATGGTAGACTATAGTGATGAGACAGATCGTGGGACCCCGAAAGAGATCAAGGTTAGGATATTTACGGGAGGTAGTTTGGGTTATGAAAGGTTTTTGTAGGATGAATTGGGAATGAATATTCCTCTGGCTGGGGAGTCACTAACAACAGAACATCAATTTAGAATTGTTACAGGCAATGCAGAAAAAAGTTAGAGTGAAGTTGTTTTTGAGGAAAGTTGTGAAACACTTTGCTATGGTGACACCTGCAGCAGAGAGTTTAGTGGAATTTTAATAAATTGGGCAGTTAAGAGGCGCCTTGTGACCTCTTCTTGTGCTGTTCATGGTTCGGTGATCCTCACAACGTCATTTATCTTTTAGGTACTTAGATCTCCAACCGTTGGGCCTATTTTCATCACACAGTCCCTTTGTTGAAAGATGCAACTAATTCAAATTTACTGGGAGTCCATTCCATTCATCCATTACTCTCCAGGATAACATTCTTGCTAATCTTGGTTCTTAGTTTTCAGTAACACCATCCTCTTAACTGAGTTCTGGAATCTTTCTTCTTTCTAATTCTTGAATTCTCACTGCCTTTTGGAAGGAACCATCCTATCTTACTGTCATGTTTCCTTTGCAGATTTGAAGTTCCATACCCCATTTTCATGTGATAAAACAGGATCAAACAGGCTATCAAGATAGCAATCGAGTCCTTTTTGAGAGCGGTTTTCATTGAGGGCATTGGAATCTATCAAAAACATAAAGACAAATAATTCGAACAATAATTAGAAGAATATTAATGGCCAAGAAAAAGAATTGCCTTAAGCAAGAATCACTACAAGTTAGACACACAAGCAACTAGAATCACCACGAGAAAAAGCTCAAATGTTTGTCCATGAAACATCTGAAAATTATTAATGCTCCAGTTTCATTTTAGAAGAGTTAACTTTTCAAAAACTTTTTAAACTCCCTATCAAGTAACTCATCAAAAACAATCTCACCTTGTCCAACAGATCCTGAAATGTGTCTGGCTGAGTTTGGCATATAGGTGGGAGCCTGTGTGACGGGAGGGGAGGGAATATCATCATCTGAGTCGAAACCATGGCCAAAGACACTGCTCGGGAACAAAAACAAGTTACTAATGAGGCATCTGGCAAATTACCCAACTCCAGTTGGCAACAGGTAGCCTGACTCCCCGGGATTATGGAATCTTTGGGAATCTCGTAAATAACCAGTTGGGAATAACTCTGCAAATCTCCCAATTTACTCCATAGCTTGCCTGTACTATCTGTGGGCACTTTTTGAAATTTGATACTGGTGTCGTATCAACCCTGATCCTGTCTTGTTAGTTACCCAATGACAGCTCATAGAACTCACTATAGATATGGTGCACTGATGTTTAGAAGTTCCCAACTGTGTTGCCATTAAAATGAATGGACAGAAAGCATGTGGTCCTGTTAGCAAGTGTAGAGCTGCTTGTAGGATCGGAGAGACAATACCCAGGAACCCATAACCCAAGAACAACCACAGCACTTGACAGCTTCAGCTCTAGAACCTACACATTTCTGTTCTTCCGGTTTCTTGACTTTTCCTCAGAGGAAATGATGAAGTAGGATTTCTGCCTTGGGAAATCTGTCATGAGTTCCAGGTCAGACAAAAGGTCCATTGCATAATCATGACCTCCAAGCTCAGCCCATTCGCCTCTACTCTTTCTTGCCACTGACCATCCTCGCCAGCCTTCTGTCACACCCCTGTAATAACATCAAGCATTATTACTTGAGTATGTGCACATGGGTGATTTGTGTTTTTGTGTGTCAATAGTGTGTATGCATGTGTTGGTGCCTATATCTATCTATATGTACGTTTGTGTGCTGCGTGTAATGTGTATATGTGTATGTGTTTGAGTCTGGGTGTATGTTTCTTTGTATGTGTTCTTCTGTGTATGTCTATCGAAGTGGGTATTTACAGGCACACTCATAATTTCAGATGTAGCTCATTTGCTCACTAAATATGTTTTCCTGTGATTAGCTACATGTCTGTTATGGGAATTGGGCATTTTCGGTACGGTACTATTCCAGAGTATAATGTCTGACAGCAGTAAAATTTCACCACCGGTACCTGCTATGAAACAATGCTTGTTTTTCTTTCTTCTGATGTTACCTGTGTTGCAGAATATCTTGTCCCAGTTCCTCTCCTGTGGTCCACGAATTCACTGGGCACAGAAAGCTCACACCTGAAAACAAGATAAAGAGAGTTATTTACTTTGCTGTCATTTCCATTACAATTTATCTATTTTGGTTAGATCAGACATCAGATCGGAATGATGAGGGATTTTGACGTGGTAAATGGAACAAAGCATTTTCGCTGGTCAGCATGTCTGTAACAAACCTTAATTCAATTTAAGACCATTACTAAAAGAATTAATATCCAATCTATATAAAACATTTTGGAACAGAGGATGGTTAAGGTTTGACACTGCCAGTTGTCCATGTAAAGTATCTGGGAAATATCTGACCAAAGAGAAAATTATTTATTGAAACAAAGGGTAGTTCAAATAACTAATTCCCTGCCACATTTGAGAAGAGTATTGGATGGCATAGGGAGTGAGCAGAAGATTCATATTAGACTAATTGGGATATTAATGCATGAGGGAACCGAAGGGAGAGTTAGTATGGACAAAGTGGAATAGTAAAAGGTACAGGAGTAAGGCGAAAAATAGTACTAAACTGCGTAAATTGTACAAATGGACAGAGTGCTGGGGATTGTAGTGTTAGACTGTGCATAAAATTCTATTGTTTGGGTAATAGACGGGTGGAGAGGATCAGGGGAGATAGTGTGGGGAAATGTGATTAAACTGGGTGGCTCAAGTGGAAAACAGTACTAGCACAAACACAATTGAGAGAATGGCCAATACTCCACCAGAATATTCATATGAACAATTAAGCAGTCGCACTCTCTCCAGCTCAAATGTTAACCAAAGATTGTGACTTTGTAACCACAGAGATTGTCTAAAGGAGAAGGAATTGGTGGAGAACAAATTACCTACTGAATTGGAGGTCCAAGCTGGGAGAGTTGGATTTGGAAATTTGGTTTTAGCAAACGGGTTCAACCACAATTAAGGTCAGAGACAGCAAGAACTGCAGTCAGAGATAACAAGGTGTGGAGCTGGAAGAACACAGCAGGCCAGGCAGCATCAGAAGAGCAGGAAAGTTGACGTTTTGGGTCAGGACCCTTCTTCAGAAACGGGGAGGGAGAAGGGGGCTCAGAAATAAACAGAGAGAAGAGTAGTGGGGCTGGGGAAGGTAGGTCAGATGGTGATAGGTGAGTCCAGGTAGAGAGTGGTGGGGATTGGTCGGTGAAGTGGGTGGAGCGGATAAGTGGGAGAGAAGATAGACAGGTTGTGTCAGGTCAAGGAGGCAGGGATGAGAGCGAGGGTTGGTCATGGGATGAGGCCAGGGATGGGGAGATTTTAAAACTGGTGAAATCCACGTTTAGGCCACTGGGCTGTAGTCTCCCGAGGCAGAATATGGAGTGTTGCTCTTCCAGTTTGTGGGTGGTGTCATTGTGACACTGGAGGAGGCCCAGGATGGGCATGTCACCTAGAGAGTGGGAGGGTAAATTGAAATGGTTCACAACAGGAAGGTGTTGTCGTTTGTTGTGAACAGAGCACAGGTGCTCTACAAAACGGTCTCCGAGCTCTGTACGCGACAAACAACAACACCTTCTGTTCACGAACCATTTCAAGTCACCCTCCCACTTCCTGGGTGACAGGTCCATCATGGGCCTCCTCCAGTGTCACAGTGTCACAAACTGGAGGACCTATCACCATCCCGCCTGCCTTCCCCAGCCCCACTCCTCCTCTCTCTGTTTATTTCTGAGCTCCCTTCCCCCTCCCCATTTCTGAAGAAGGGTCCTGACCCGAAACGTCAACTTTCCTGTTCCTCTGATGCTGCCTGGCCTGCTGTGTTCCTCCAGCTCCACACTGTGTTATCCATGTCATAAGAGGACTAGGTGTGGGCGAGTATAAAAAGGTGGAATCAGGCTGTAAAGTTATTGGACTTGACGTTGAGTCCGAGAGGCTGCAGGGTCCCCAGGTGGAAAATGAGATGTTGTTCTTCGAGCATCCGCTGAGACTCACTGGAGCACTGCGGCAGGCCTGTGACAGAAATGTTGGCCTGGGAACACAGTGATGTGCTGAAGCAGTCAGAACGTAGGTATTCTGCAAAGCAGTCACCCTGTGTGTGTTTCGTCTCCCCCAGAATAGAGGGGACCATACTGTGAGCAGTGAATATAGTGGACTAGACTGTGTTATATCTATCAACCACATTTAAGCACTTTTATTTAATTCCCATCCAAGGAACGTTGGATAAAATTAATTGAGCTTGTACAATTGGGGGAATCTGCTTACCATCAAAGCAGGACACGTTTAAAGCAATGTTGCCCTTCCTCTTGTTGCCTGTCCATTCCAGCAGACACGGTGGGTAGCTTCTGACTCCCACCGCACCATACCTGGCCTTTTGCATTGCCTGCATGAGCTTGTGCTGACACACAGACTTAAACCCATTGTAGGCATGATCTGAAACAAACCTGATGGACAAAAGCAGAGAGAAGAATGTCAGAAGCTTGTAACGAGTGCTGTATCTGTCTAATGTTAAACAAATTTCTTCACTCCCAGCCTATAGTGTACTTTCACCTTCACACCACATACTCAGAAAAACGATATGGCACACTATGAAAAGCTGGAAGGAAGCAGCAATGTTCTCGGCTGTAAGTCTGGGCATTTGTGACCTGGATATTGTGTAGATGAAGGTTTCAGGTCATGGAGGCTGCACAGTCAGTTCTACCCAAATCAGTCTTGATGCTGAACTGAAGTTAAGTATCCAGGATAAAATCAATGCTTTTTTAAAAACCCATTGTCAGCCATTAATGGCCCCATTAGCAGCTATTGCTCTCCCAGGCTAAACTTTATCTGTTCCTTTGTCTGCCCAACTGTGTTTTTCTCTCTCTCTCTGAGCTCCATATCCGCATATTGTTTACTCCTCCCCCTCCCCCCATTCCATCTTCAGCATATTTACCAAGCTTTTCCTAACTATAATCAGTTAGGAAGAAGGGTCACAAGACCCGAAACATTAACTCTGTTTTCGCTCCACAGAAATGTGACAGGGTTTGTTAAAGATTTGGGAACAGATTTGGGCAAGGTTTCACACAGTCAAAGAAAAACCCAGAAGAACTGTGGTTGCTGCAAATCAGAAACAAAAACAGAAATTGCTGAAATCCTTAGAACGATGGCCACTCGACTCAAAACGTTAACTGTCTCTCCACAGATACCGCCAGACCTGCTGAGCTTTTCCAGCAATTTCTATTTTTGTTTCACACAGAGTCCTCTTGTTTCATGTTCACAGCCCATACACCACGACCACCATCCTCCCCAAACATTCCCCCAGCCCTCTCACACGACCTTCATCGTTGTCCCCACAATACATCCCCTGGCTCTTCCCCTTGACCCTACCCTCCTGCTTCACATCCTACTCACTTTAACAGGTACTTGTCCATCCTGGAAGAGGGAGCAAAACAACTGAGGCAAGTAGCGAATAAAAGCCAGCCCCTTTCTGCATTCTTTTCATTGACATTTCTCCACACCTGATTGGCTAATTGAGCAAGGATTTCGTCTCTCAGATTGGGGTTAGCCAGTCCAATCTGCGCTATGTAATCACCAAAGAGGATTTCTTGAACTCCATTGAGATGAGGATCACCCATGAATCTCATTATCTGTAAGAGGAACATCATTAGCTTCTTACAGTGGATAAGATACAAAAATGCAAAGAGCTGGAATTGTGAGGAATCTTGCTTACTAGGAATTACCCCTTTTTCCTAGCTGTAGATTAATAAGCATCATCACCTCTGTTTCCTAAATGTGAGACCTGAGTCTGCAAGTCCAGAAGATAAATGACTTGCAAATTCAATCATTTACACAAAACATGCACACACACGGAGAAGTACCCACACATACATTAAAACATGCACTCACATGCACACACTCAAGTACATAAACACTCATAGGAGCACAGACATATATAATTTCCTTCACAAAGTGCTGGTGTTTGTTTTCACACACAAGCAAATGCATGCACACATATATATGTACAGACACACATGTACATGTGCCCACATCACATGCAAGCACACAACTTCCAGCAGACGTTAGCAATCAAAACTCCTTTTTCTTTCAGGAGCACCATGCCAATTAAAACAAAAGATCACCATTTTGCTTGAGATAACAAGGTGTAGAGCTGGATGAACACAGCAGGCCAAGCAGCATCATAGGAGCAGGAAGGCTGACGTTTCGGGCCTAGACCCTTCATCAGAAATTTCTGAT